TATAATACTAAATACCAGTCAGCTAGATATCCCCTAGGATTGCAGCATCAATCAATCCATATCAATCAAAGTCCACACCATGCAAAACTGGCCTCGTATAATGCATTTAAATTTTTAAAAATTCCAAATATAGGCAATTTTGCAATGTTTTCAGGGTGGGAGCAATGTTGCAGGGAAATGGTAGTATTAACTCTTTTCCTGTCCCACTTTCTGCCTTTAAGGGTTTAAACAAAATAGAGGCTCTGCCATCTTGCTTATTTACAATTCAAAGCGACAGGTGAAACTGTATTTATACAAATGTTCCTTGCCTGGTGTCCCCCAGAAGAGTAAGAACCCCTAATCCCACATCTGTGAAGCTTCAGGTTGGAAAAGGAAGTTGGATAAAGTAGTGGCAGAAATACACTAAGATTTATTTATTGAACTTGTAAGGCCACCTATCTCACATAATAACACTAGGTGGATCCCAACAACCAATAGAAACAATAGGATGGCTGGCTGGGGAATTCTAGAAGTTGAAGTCCACAAGTCTTAACGTTGCCGAGGTTGGACACCCCTGTCCTAGACTAATGCTTGGGGGGAGATCTTCACAGCCTTCCAGGAGGCTAAGGTAAAGTTAGCTAAAGTAAAGGCTAAAGTTCTAGATTCACTTGATCATCCCCAATTTTACTTGAGAACCTTTGTTCTTATCAAGATTCAAGAGCCTAATATAAATGTAAATGCTCACAGAAATTATGCTTTGCTAGACTGTAATAATCATATATCCAACATGAGATCTCTAAAGTCAATTCTCAAACAGTAGCAGGAAAAAAAATGCAAGAGTAGCTTCAATATCAGCTGAAAAAAAGTTAACACTGAAATGTAACTTCAGATCAGAGTTAAGCTATTTGCTGTGGATATTTGCATTCGCCCTTGAGAAGGATGCAAATCTGCTTTTACAGCTCTGAAAACAACAGCATATTCTCACTTGAAAGGTAACAGCAAACTCCCAATTAGCATAGCAACATAACTATTATACAGCTATTTTCGGAAAGAGGAATTAGAAGTTATTTTAGTTTAAACTCCCCAAAGGTAAGTGCTGTGCAAATGAAACTGGGTTCACCTTCAGTGTCAAAGAATCAAAAGGCTTCTCATGGAGAAAAAAAAACATTTATGTAAAAGGAAACTATACTGCATACACTAAAGCCAACATTTAATTTAATGCTTGAAAGTGGAAAAACTACAAAGTATTATTATCTTGGACACTAAAGTATATTTCATAAGGAGAACACTTGCAACTAATGTCTATTTTTGGTTGTATCTGTTATATTTTTTAAATTCAATAACAGAAATACTCTGGGCAAAGTATAATTTACCTAATTAAGCATTTTCTGACAGAAAAGCAACGTTTTTCTGGGAAGTGAAAACAGATGCCTTCAGCCCAATGCTTTCATGGACATCTCCATGCTACTTTCTTGGCATATGGTACAAAAGTAATCTGCTTTTGTCTTTTTCCAGGAATTGTTTTCAACTTCTCAGTCTAATCCAGAGTCCTTGTGGTCTCCTAATCCAAGTACTACCTAGCCAACTATATTCATTTCTGAGCCCAGGTCTGCGCAGATGCTACCACCCGCTGAAGCAAAAACTTCTAAATCTTGCTATTATTGACCCAGAAGAAGAAAAAAATTCAAAATCTATATTAAGGAAAAAATTATGATGAAGCAAATTTTAGGGCTAAAAGGAACCATGGAAATCTTCTTGTCCAAATCTCTGTGCCCAAGGCAAGAGTTCATATACCATCTCGGACAGTTATCCAATCTTTTCTTGAAAACCTTGGACAGTCATTGTCCGAGATGATATGAGAGGACAGGGGATTGGACCACAGGTCACAAATAATAGAAGAGAATATCTGTAACTCATAGACATTGCGTGATGTATCGGAACTCTTTCCCCATTTCCTCGTGACACGTCCAGCCCATGGGCCAGCAGTTTGACACCCCTGTCATAGATGAACTGTGCTTTGATGATATTACCTAGTTAAGGAATGAAACATCTGCAAACAAATTCAAGAGAGCACCGAGGATTCCAGAGTGGCAAGTCATGGACAAGCTTTCTCCACCATTCTTAATCAGATTGGGTATTAAAAGGAGAAAAGGTTGGGGGGCAGGATATTTATCTCACTAAAATAGAAGAAAAACATTTTACTAGCTGAGATGCTTAAACTGCATTAGGATACAATCAAAGTTGCAAATCTGAATACAATGCTAATATGCATTATCTGTACAGGTAGTCCTCAACTTACAACAGTTCATTTAGTGACCTTTCGAAGTTACAACAGCATTGAAAAAAGTGATTTATGACCATTTTTACACTTATGACTATTGCAGCATTGCCGTGGTCACGTGATTTACATTCGGATGCTTGGCAACAGGTTCATATTTATGACGGTTGCAATGTCCTGGGGTCATGTGATCCCCTTTTGTCACCTTCTGACAAGCAAAGCCAATGGGGAAGCCGGATTCTCTTAAAAACGGTCGTACTAATTTAACAATTGCAGTGATTCGTTTAACAAATGTGGCAAGAAAAGTCGTAAAATGGGGCAAAGCTCACTTAACAAATTTCTCACTTAGCAACATAAAGTTGGGGCTCAATTGTGGTCGTAAGTCAAGGGCTATCTGTACTTCATGGCAATTCTTGCACCTAGCCAAGTTCTAGAGGCAGCGTGTCACATAGGCAAAAGTCTTCCTTTCAACATATGGATCACAGCTGGTCAAAGTATCCATGTATACTTTACTGCTTGCTGTGATTCTCAGATTCAAGCCAACAGTGTTGTATTCCCTTGCCTTGAAGCATGCCTATTCAGTTCCAACATACAGATATGCTAGAAAGTAAGCTCAACAGCTGAAAAAACAGCAGTTAATTTCTGAAAATATCAAGTAAACGATGACAACAAAACCCCTTAAATGAATTAATCTTTAATTTCAGAGTAGCCTGGAGACTTGTTTAAGGATATATATATTTCCATTGCTAGGGGAAGTTAAATACGATAACCGAACAACAAACATATAATGTGTCTGTTTCTAGTCCTCTAAATATTTTATTACTTACCAAGCACTCACGTACTTGTTAAAATAGGATACTGGAATACATGATGCCTTTTTCAGAATCAGCCCAGTATCAATATTTCTACAATATTATGTAGAAATAATCAAGCCACTACTAGACTGCTAGTCTTATTTTGAACAGAACAAACTTAAGTTCAGGTATTGATTTCTTTTTTTAATCTATTGGCTGGAGACACTGCAGAATTTTCTAAAATAGCTCTACAAATTAAGTCCTTTTCAGAGTCCTCAAACAGCATGTAATTACAGGCTTTTAAAATGGTTTCCTAATTCTTCTACCCTTATCTATTTTTTAAACAGATTTTCCCTCTTTTCTACAGCTGGTTATGCAAAGAGAGTCTGACATTTCTCTAGCTTTAATATACATAAAAGCAAATTCTCCTGAAATTAGTTAAAATTACGTGAGCGAGGGCTTTTCTCTCAGCATGCACAGATGCTTTTTAAGATTGCAGTTGATAAATAAATGCAGTTTAAAAAAAAAATTCAAACAAAGCCATACTAGAGAAATAATTAGGTTTCAGACAGCTCTGGAGGAAACAAAGAGAGGAATGAAATAGTTCTGCTAAAAACCAATATACCATATTTTGGAAAATGTTTTTTTCCCCCTTAGATCATTGATTTTCCTTTATTCAAAGACCACAATCTATTGGTGAAGAACCTTCCCCCCCCCATTATACGCTTGTTTAAGTATAGTTTAATGGTTATTTCTTCCCTGTATATTTTTGGGATAGCCAGTGGACTGTGTTGCCATATTAATTAATACTGGTGCAATATTAATTAGCATCTTCCTCTGTGTCCAGCACAGCTAGAGGGTTTGACACCACAGTCTAATCCCTCCTCAAAAGGGATTTAAACCAGCCACTTTCAAGAGGCGCATTCTGTAGCAACACAGTAGTTACAAAGGTGGTTTTTCTGTTCTTTGGACCTCAGCAAGCCCTTGATTCAACAGGGAGGCTGTGCAACAACCCAGGGAAGTGTATAAATCTTTCACAACACAACACCTGGGCCTGACGACAGCAAAGGCCACGGGGGGGGGGGAGGGGGGAATGCCGATTGTATCCAACCTATGGTAAAGACAACTGCATTGAAACATGGTTACTCTTGCCAGTGACATAACCAAACCTGGCTACTGCAGCTTGGAGGCATCACGATTTTGGAAAATGGGCGGGGATATAAAGAAAGGAGGAAGGGGGGGGGAGAGCTGGAAACCAGGGGATGATTAGACCTGAGGATAAACATTATGGGGCAAGGAGATCAGTCGCTGCTTCCTAAGAAAAATTAAACCTCCTTTAAACCGACCTTCTTTTAACGGTGTGGATTGTATTTGCCCGGAATTAGAAAGGCATAATGGGGCGGAGGAGGAGGAGGGGGGGTGCCTCAAGAGGATCCAAAGGCTGGCCTTTGGAGAGGGGGGGTCTCCTCCGAAATGCCCGCCCCAGTTAATCTCATGGCAACCCCGGGGAGAAAAGGCGAAAGCGGCTGCGCGGCAAAGCCCCTCCGGGGGAGGCGCAGCGACGAGAGTCCTTTTCCAGGGGCGCTTCGCCGCCACCTGGGTCCCCGCCAACGCCACTCGCGGCGCCCCCTTCTTGCCAGAGGGTCAACAGCACCCCGATCATGGTTCTGCCCTCGGAGGGAGGCGGGAAAAACCGACCGGGAGAGCCCGGCACAAGCTGCCTTTGCGCTCGGCGTCCCCAGCAGATCCCGCGCAGTGCGGGCTCTCGCGGACCGGGAGCGCGGCGGCGGCTCCCCACAAGGGCAGCCCGAGGGCCCGAAGCCACCCCGGGAGAGCGATGCCCGAAAGAAGCAAGCAAGCAAGCAAGCCAGCGCGAGGAGCCCAGCCGAGCCAGGAGGACGGACCCCCGCTATCCCCTTTGTCCTCCCCGTCCTTCTTCCTCGGCTTACCGGCTAATTCATCCGGCTCCAAGCCGCTGTCGGCGTCGATCCCGCACAGCACGAAGTAGTGGGCGAAGCGGCAGGGCGCTGAGCCGGAGCCCGGCCCCGAAGGAGCCCCGCTACCGCCGCTCATCTCTTCCCCGCTCCGGCTCTCGCCTGGCCCGCTCGCCTTCGGTCCCCGGCAGGCGTCGATCCCAACGGCGCTCTTAACGCCTCCGCCGCGTTTCCTCCATGGCGCAAGTCCGCTCGGCCCGGGTGGCGGCCTCCCTGGCCACGGGGCGCACGGCCGGGGTTGCGTCGGCGCGGCTGGCGGCGGCGGTGCGGGCGCCCCTCGGTCAGCTGAGGCTGCAGCGGCGCCCAAAGCCAGCCAGGCACCGTCCCGCGGCCCCTCCTCCCCCCGCAGCGCCGCCGCCGCCGCCGCCAATCAGAGCCCCGGGAAGAGAAAGGAGGCCCGCGAGCCGCTTCCGCCCCGCCTCTTCGGCGGGACATTTAAATCGCTCTCCGCCCCGAGAAGCGCAGCGCCGGAGTGGGGAGCTGCAGCAAAGGCAGCGGGGAGGTGGGTACTGCTGAACCCCCCATTTCATTTGAGTCTCGTACGCCATAAAAAAACCATCTGGTGCAAAGAATTTACGCTCCGGTGTAACCCAGACAATTAAGAGAGTACAAATTTGAATAACAAGCTGCATAAATATTATCTAAATCAGTGTTTCTCAACCTTGACAAATTTTAAGGCATGTGGACTTCAACTCCCAGAATTCCACAGCCAGCAATGCTGGCTGTGGAATTCTGGGAGTTGAAGTCCACATGCCTTAAAATTGTCAAGGTTGAGAAACACTGATCTAAAATAGTGTCTTTTCAATTTATCCACACCTTCATGACGTTTAGTGTTTGATCTCCAAAATTTACAGGTAGTCCTCAACTTAACTGCAGTTCATTTAGTGACTTTTCAAAGTTACAGCAGCACTGGGAAAAATGTGAGTTATGACCGTTTTTTCACACTTATGACCATTGCAGCATCCTCATGGTTGTGTGATCAAGATTCAGATGCTTGGTAACTGGTTCATATTTATGACGGTTGTAGTGTCCTAGGGTCATGTAATCAATCTTTTGCAACCTTCTGAAAAGCAAAGCCAGATTTACTTAACAACTATGTTACTAATTTAACAACTGCAATGATTCACTTAACAACTGTGGCAAGAAAAGTCAAATGGAGCAAAACTCACATAAATGTTTCACTTAGCAACATAGATTTTGGGCTGGGTTGTGGTCGTAAGTTGAGGACTATCTGTATTATATAAAAATGATTTAATACTACTTTAATTGTGTGTGCCTTTGTTTTTGACTCCTGGAGACTGCCTGGACAATTCCCTGCTGTCTTTTTGTCAAGGTTTTTCTCCCCATAATAGTTTTTCTCCCCATAATAGTTTTCTCCCCATAATAGTTTGCCATTGCCTCCTTCCTAGGGCTGTGTGTGTGTGACTGGTCCAAGGTCACTCAGCTGGTTTTAGGACCAAGGTGGGACTGACTTCTATCTTGATACCTTAACAACTACACTAAACTGGCTATCCTAATTTAATTTATACTACAATTAATAACTAACAGTAATAATATGGCTTCTTTCATTGGAGGCTGACCATCCAATCGTGGGTAACACTGTCTCATCAGCCACTCAACAGTGCTAGAGACTGGCATTGACCTCTACGTCAAAAGCTTAATTGATCCCAATCCCAATAAGTGATTCCATTTACTGTCCCCTTGGATAGACTCATCAACTCTTGGGGATCAGTATTTATCACTTTGGAAAACCCTGGTCTAAAGAAATTCAAAAAGTATTAAATAAGGTTTAAGTTATGGCAAAAATGTAAATATTCACTTGTATTAAACTATGTTCTGCACAACAGCCTCTCTCAGTCTGATGGTCTTCAAACAGGTTAAGATTATATATCCCATGCTCTGGTTATCAGACATCCCTGAGCAAGAGTTAGTGAGGTCTGATGCAGAGAAAACACTGAAGGTAATAAAGACAGTAATACTATTTCCTAATCATACACAATTCACTACAATATATGGTCACATACAGATTGGTTTCACCTATTGCATTTGTCAAAAAGTGTGTTTTATAAATCATAGTAGCTCCATTTACACAGGATGAGCTTTCCTTAATCTCTCTAGAGCATGGGTGTCAAACTCGCCATGTCACATGACATGTTGCGACGTATTGCGACTCTTTTTGCATTGCCAGCAATGGGGTGGGCGCTGTTTCGGTATGATGAAACCGGCCCATGGGCCAGCAGTTTAACACCTCTGCTCTAGAGGAACAGCGGGCCACAGCTCCCATCAACCACAACCAGATTGATCAACTGCCATGGTACCTAGGGATCAAGGCAGCTGTGGTACAATATATCTGGAGAGCCCCGTTTGCTAAACTCCATTCTTAATTAGACTAATTCCAAATGAACTGGAGAATCCAAGTGAAGGCAGAATTAAGAACAGGGAAATAAAACGTGCTGATCATTAGGTTTTCTTAAACTGTACCTTTCCATTCCTCAGTGCTCATAAAAAAAGTGGTGGGAATAGGACAAGAGCTCAGCTGGTTGCTCAACTCTTGCCCCATCTAATATATTAACAATGATCAGTTGCAGAAGGGCCTAGAGAGGAAGGGAGACTTGCCCCAAACAACTCTGGGACTCTAGAAGGAGTACAGTACTTCTGCCTTAAACCAATTCACTTTTAATGTGTGTTTTTGACCTCTGTGGAACCGTTCTGAGCTGATTATTTTGGACACACCTGGCCCCTGGCCTAGATCATGTGCAGCTTCTGAAAGTCATAGTTTCAAATGGTAATACTGTACAGTGCAGTGAAGCATGAAGAGAACAGTTTCAAGAAAAACACTTTTAACCTAAGCATGCTTACCAAGAAAATGCCTTTTACAAGATCAGCTTTATGGCAGCTGCAACCCTTTCTGCAGAGCAATAGCTGGATGTGGCAGGAGCCCATATCTAATTATTCCAAAATGGATCTACTGCAATCTCTGTTCTCTATCGGGGTAGCTCTGCAGATTACATGAAATGGGTAGAAAATTCAATTACCCACCAGAACATTTAGCCAGCAAGTCGGGACCCGTTGCTGTGTTTCTATGGACTGATCTGAACCATGGCTTATCAAATTAACTCAGTGACCTGGAAGCACACAACACACTGAACTGCAAATTAATTACACTTTTGAGGTTTGTTTCACACACTAAACCACAAACTTGATTGTCATGGTTTTATCTTGCTGCAAGAGACCAACTGTGCCTGAAATAATAATACAGTCCAACATTTTCTAAAGGATTACATTTTGAGGATAAGTGCCAGGAGGAGACCATCTCAAAATAAGATGAAAAACAAACCAGAGAATATGATTTAATTAAACCGAAAGTGGAATACCTGTGCTATTTGAGGAACATTCAGAAACTGCAACAGAGGGTGGGTAGGAGCAAAGCCAATAAACAAGTCCATTTCTCATAACCAGTCTGCCTCCAGAGCCATGCTTGAATACCGGCATTTGCTTCCGGTTCTGACAAAAAATACCCATTACAGACAATGATTTGCTCAATGACCATGGTGGTTCGCTTAGTGACTACTACAAAAAGGTAGTAAAATCAAGTGCAGTCATGTGACTACTTGCTTAATAACTGGCACAACTTATAACCATAATTCTGGGCTCAATCATGCTCACAAGTCGAGAACTACCTGTAACACAAGTCCTTTCCCCATTGAGTTGATTATGCTGGTTTATCTCCATAAATATCTCAAATGACTCATCAAAAAGGTACCATAATAATGCAAAATACCTTCCTTGGGTCAACTCATGGAACTAATGCTGTTTATGAATAGTCACCAACCTGCAGGCTAGTCCTAAGCTTTGTACTGATCTTCTCTTGGGTGACTCATACTACGGTAGATTCATACAGTGCCTTATTTGAAGGTAACAGGGACCATTCTGAACACATACTGTATTAGATGAATATGAAGTTCCAGGTACATCGCTACATAAATTTCATTGTGTTTTTTTGAGGACTGGCATTTAGTAAAATATATACAGAGAGGCTCTATTTATAGAACTGTAGGTGAAAAGGGGAATGGCAATTAATTGCTTTTCCCTTTGTTGCTGAGAGCCTTGGCTAATTAGTCCTTCTTCTTCCAATGTCCAGCGATGGGTTCTGATATTGCCAGAATATTACCATCTGTACACAAGAGGGAGAGACTTCCAGCAAATGTGGGAAATATTAATGCAAATATTAAAAATTAATTGAAGAAAGCAAAGCCCAACCAAGAAAAAAAAAAACACCTCAGTAACGAATATTGAATGACTACAGGTAGCCCTCGACTTACAACAGTTCATTTAGCAACTGTTCAAAGTTGCAACAGCACTGAAAAAAGTAACTTATGACCATTTTTCACACTTATAACTGTTGCAGCATTCCCATGGCCATGTGATCAAAATTCAGACAATTGACTCATATTTATGGCGGTTGCAGTGTCCTGGGGTCACATGATCACCTTTTGTGACCTTCTGACAAGCAAAGTCAGTGGGGAAGCCAGATTCACTTAAAAACCATGTCACTAACTTAACAGGTGCAGTGATTCACATAACAATTGTGTCAGAAGAGTCAGAAGATGGGGTAAATTTCACTTAACAAATGTCTCACTTAGCAACAGAAATTTTCGACTCAGTTGTGGTTGTACGTTGAGGACTACCTGTACTAAGCGAGGAAAACAGAAAACCAGAAAGGATTCTGAAGAGGCAGGGGAATTTATTAAAACGCTTAACACAACTTTCCACGCTGCCGCAACATCTTGCAGACACATTCTTTTAATCCATAAATGCACTCCAGTAGCATGAAAGCTGAAATTGGTTAAAACTAACAAGGAAAGGAAAGCAGAACGACTGGGGTTTTCAAATGCCCTTTTAAACTTCAAATCTATCTTCCCACATTTAATTTCTAACCTAGATTAACTGTGACCTGAAACTTCTCCAAATGTACCTTTAATCTGGAGTGTTGTCACACAGAAAAGGGCAAAGGTCCACTGTCTCAGAGGGAAGGAGTAGATTGTCATTAGTTATGCTAGACTATCCAAAGGTCATCAA